AGAAAAATAAAACTAAAGGAAACAACAACCAGGGTAACCACCATGCCTGGCTTTATGTGCTGCTGGAGATTGAACTCAATACCTCATACTTACTTGTCAAGGATCCTACCAACTGAATTTTATCCCAAACCCTGATTTTTAGTGTTTATATGTGCCCTGTTTTACTTACATTTGGCTGCTGTGATAAAACATTACCTGAAAACAACATCCCAAACACAGACCATCATTTAAGAAACTTAGAACGGAAACCCAAGCAGAAACAGAGCCAGGAACCATGGAGGAAAGCTGCTTACTGGATTGCTCTCTGGGTTCACAGTGAACTACCTTCCTTCAGCCTCACGGGATCACCATCCCACAGTAGCCTAAACCCTCCCACATCAATCAACAAGAAAGTGCCACACAGACATTGCATAATGAGACGGAGGCACCTCCTCAGTTCAGGTGCTCTCCTACCAGCTGACTTTAGTTTGTGTCAAGCTGACAAACACTAGCCAGCACACTCCCCAAGGCCCCTGTGTTGCAGGTAGGTTGTGTTGTGAGCTGGTAGTGGCATATGGGTGGAGGTGGGAGCTGTAAGAGGTGAGGTCCCATGGGTGGAGAATAGACTAGTGGGATCCTGAGGGGCGTGCTGAATCCTCAGGCTTGTTCTCCTTTCTCTCAGCCACCAAAAGAAGTTTACTGTATTTCCTCCCATTATGCTCTGTTTCACCATAGACCCAAAATAATAAAGGAAGATCACTATGGCCTAAAACTTCTGAAACCATGAGCCAAAATAAACATTGCTATAAATTGTTCATTTTATGTATTTTATTTATAGTAACAGAAGGCTGACTATATTAGTTACTTTTTTCATAGTGACAAAAAGGGGGGGTGGCATTGAGGTTGGGGTGCAGAGAGCCAACACAGTCCTGATTGTGTGTGGTTATTAATAGAGCACAGCCTCCTCAAGGACCCCAAGGCCACAGACCCATGGAAATGGTGAGGCTCAGAGGGATGGCAAATATCTGCTCTATATGTGAGTATTGACTAACAATTTCACTAGCTAAAACCAGTGTATTCAGAAACTGTCAACCATAGCTTCCTCCTCCCTGATATGGATTCTACCTCAAACTGTTCCAAACCTAAACCAGCTAACCCCTCCTCCTGAGCTGTGCATAATAAATGCTGTGAATCCACATGGTAGAGAGAACGTACTCCTATAAACTGTCCCGTAACTTTCATATGATTGCTCACAAACACACATACAAGTGAAAAAAATAATGCAAGAAAGAAAATTAAATACAAACTTGCTACAGAATTTTAGCAGAACTGTTGTATCTGGCAGGAAATGATGGCTCCTAAACTTTAAAGTAGCCTTTTGTCAGTGATTGTTATCTGAGAATTTATGGGGCTGTTCTTTTGAAGGATTCTCGGAGCCTTTGCACTTCCTAGTTCAGAGATAGGCCTGACACACCAGGGAGTCTCCCATGGCTGAGAATTGCTTAGGTGATGGATCTTTCAAGATAACCCCTAGGTCAGATAAGAAGTTTTGGTATTCAGAAATTGACTTACTAAAGGTGCCTCGTGTATGACAATAAAAAGAGCCTCTAGGAAGCTGTCAAGATTCAGCCCCACAGAGGCTGTTCCCCCTGCTGCCAAGAAGCAGTGTATGTGTGTTCTCTCCCCTGCTAAGAAGCTGTAGTGGCTCTTTCTTCAATCCATCAAACTACAAATCCCTCCCACAGCCATACCTAGATGTCCTTTTCATTAAATAACTGGGTAATGTCATTTAACCAAGTTAATACAGAAAACACACAATGGGAAATGTAAGCTTAGACTTTTTCAAAAACTACTTTTAATAAGGGTTCTTAAATGCCTTAACCTCCCTTCTAGCCCACCAATCCACCAGAGGTAGTGGAAAGGAAAGGTTAATAGGGCAAAGGAGGATGTGGACCTGTTTAGAAATACTTCTTTGGAGCAAATCTGCTCTGCATGTCAGGATATCAGCAATTCGGTTCACATGAATCAGCAGCTTCAGATCTGTCTACTTGCAAACACCATTCACGAATCAGGAACAAATGGCAGGTTGATCCAGAAGAAACTGCGAGGCTATGCCTATTGCTGATGAAGCAAGAAGATGCCAGAACACCACCAGACGTCTTTTGGTGTGTTTCTTGATATGGAGTCATGGCAAACTATGACCAACAACAAATGATAAGACATACCAATACCACCCAGTGTCATCAGTGAAGATCAGTGTCAGCAAAACCCGACGATGACCAGTGAAGAATGGCAAGGTGTAGCAATACTACCCAGCATCGGCCACTGTCCATTGGGCTATATTTATAGTCTTTCCAAACAGCACATGTTCTCACAAGCATCTGCTATAGCAGAGCATTGCATTCCCAGGCTGCCTCCAGAAAAACACCACATGTCCGTTCTTAGTAAAACATTCTCCCATGTGTCTCCTTCGGCAAAAACATCCTCTCATAAGACAGTTTCCAGAAAAACATTACATGACACAACCGAGTCCCCAAAGAAACCAGAAATTTCCACTTTAGGGAAAAGAAACATGGTTTGCTGCCATAGTGGGAAATGGGCTGATTTGTACAAGGATCCATTTCCCAAGGGACCCTTCCATTATTATTATTGTTGTTGTTGTTGTTATTAGCATTAGCATTCCTTCTAGACTGCCCCACAGCTACCTGGCAGAAGCCAATATGCCTGACTCACTATAATTGGAGGCTACCTGTCCCTCCTCACGCTCTTGCTCTCTAACCCTCTTCTCCCTCTGTTGCTTCTCTCCCCACTCCCTTTCCCCTCTCTCTCCACATGTTCATGGCCAGCCTCTAGTCCTCTTCTCTCTCTCTCTCTCTCTCTCTCTCTCTCTCTCTCTCTCTCTCTCTCTCTCTCTCTCTCTCTCTCTCTCTCTCTCTCTCTCTCTCTCTCTCTCTCCCTCCCTCTCTCCCTTTTTCTGGCTCTCCAAACCCCCCTCAACCCCCCCCCCCATGCCCTAAATAAACTCTGTTTCATACTATATCCGTCCTATGGCTGGTCCTCGGGGAAGGGATACCTCAGCGTGGGCCTTCAGAGTCACCCCCTTCCCCTACACTATATTGTGCCTCTACCAAACATATCTCTGGCTCCTTTTCTTTCTTTTTTTTTATAAAACACAACAACAATTATTATGATTTTATGTGGTTTATGTATATGAGTGTTGTATCTGCGTGTGCATCTGTATACAAGAAGGGGGCAATAGACCCCACAGGACATCAGATCCCATAGTAGTTGTGAGTGCTGGAAATGGAACTCAGGACCTCTGGAAGAGCAGCCAGTGCTCTTAACCACTGAGCTGTTTCTCCTGTCCCCAAGGTACCCTTCTTCAAGTGTTCCATTTCTAGGTGGGGATAATTGGTGCTTGTCAGGGTTTTTTGTAAGTTGTTATCACCCAACCTAGAGGTAAGGAGGAAGAGAAGGAGGGAGGGAGAGAGGGAAGGAGGGAGGGAGAGAAGAAGGGAAAGAAGGGAGGAAAAGAGGGAGGGAGGGAGGAGGGAGGAGGGAGGAAGACAGTAAGAGGAAAGTAGTAGACTTAAGGAGAGAGACTGGGTGAGGAATTTCCAAATCCAAATTGCCCTCAGTATGCCCTCAGGATTCTGTGTGGAGTTCCCTACACACCCACCATAACATGCACCCCACCCCACCCATCTCCGTAGACTGTTTTGCAGACAAGTTCTCCCACAAACCCCAGGCTGGACTTGAACCTGTGATCCTCCTCATGGCTACAGACATTGTCTGATTCCTGAGAGAGGTGACCGAGAGTCAGAAAGACAAACAAGGTATGTACTTATTTCTAAGAGAATATTAGCTGTAAAGGATAACCACACTTCAATCCACATACCCAGAGATGCTAAAGAAGGCTCAAAGTGGGACAGATGGGTCTCCTTCGGAAGGGGAAATAGAGTAGATTCCAAGGGTGGATTGGGGGCAGATAGAAAGAACAGGAAGGATCAGATGAGGAGGGGAAGGGAGAAATAACTGGAATGGGGGGCACTTCGGGGGCAAGGTAGAAACCTAGTACAACTCCCTTGAGGCCAACCCTACTGACAACTCCTAGCATATGGAGCCAGAACCAGCCATTTTCTATAACAAGGCAAGGCTTCCAGTACAGGGCTTGGAATACCAAGCCAGCCACAAAGCCAGTCCACAATTTGTCTTGCCTGCAAGATGTGTTGGAATAGGTGGCACAGAACTTGGGGGAATGGGCAATTTGTTAATGGTACAAATTGATATCCACACCATGAGAGGGAACCCATGCCTGACACTGCCTGGAGGGCCAGGATTCAGAGGCTGGATAGACCAGACACCTAGGATAGAACCAAACATGACCAGAAAATAAATAAGTAAATAAATACATAAATAAATAAATAGTTGCCCGACCCCAATATTTAATGAGTATCTATGATATCGGCCCATGCTCTGCCCTCCAGCCTGTACCTCCTCTGCTCACGGCCCCTCTTTAGCCTGACCTCTAACCCCCATGTTTTCCCTCAGATTTCTGATGCTTCAGCTTCAGATGAGCTTAATCTATACTCTCTGACCCAGTGGGTTCCAGCAGGGTTGCATTATTCCTGCTCTGAGAGCCTTCGGTTTACCTAGGACCTGAGTTCAAGAAGGAAGAAATTGATCTCTGCCAGGCTGTGCATCTCTTGGGGCCTTTCGGAGCCTCCCAGTTCTGCATGCTGCTGCCCAGACTGCTGTGCAGAGGAACTAGAGAGGTTTATCTACCACCCCTTAGCCGTTGGAGGGCAGGTGCACTCCTAAACTCGGAATCTCGTGACTCCTTTGTCTGATTCAGGCAGAAGATGTTAAATCCTGAGTATGCCCTGCCTGAGAGTCTCAATCTAGTTCCTTCTCTTTAAGGTTGGACCCACCCCCACTCACTTTGGCCGCCGCCCAGGCGCGGAGTGGGAGGGGATTGGCTGGTTCAGCCCAGCTCAGCTTCCCATACAACTTCCGGCAGGTCGGAAACCAGGGACTAACCGTTTTCAGAGAAGACAGGTGATTGTGGAAGACTCGCTGCTCATGAGAAAAGGGGCCAGGCTGGGAGGCAGCAAGGAGAGTTCTGGCTCAGACAGGGAGAGCTCTACCCACAGCTGAGTTGTCTGTAGGGAGTCTGCTGACCTTGGAGACTTTCGGTCTCCTGGAAATTGCACCTATGGTTTATGCTTCAGGCTGAGGCCTTCTAGAATGCTAACTGTTCTGCCTGTTGTCCCTTCTTATGTTCTTCCTCTTCTCTCTCAATGTTCGTTCCTTGCACTTCTCCCTGCCCTGGCCCCAAGTCCTCTCGTGTATATCGCTAGCTATATTCCTATCCAGTAAACAGGCCCGTCCCCACCCCTCTCCGGAGCTTCAGAATTTCACCCTCTACCTATTTGCCCTGCAGGATGCTACAGCTGAGTCTGTCCTGGCTGGGAATGGGGCCCCTGACTGGCTCTCCGTGGCATCTACTGCTGCTGGGAGGGGCCGCTTGGATTCTAGCCCGAATTCTGGCCGGGATCTATGCCTTCTATGACAATTGCAGCCGCCTTCGTTGCTTCCCTCAGCCCCCTAAACCAAGCTGGTTCTGGGGTCACTTGGCCTTGGTGAGTGTGGCAGTAGGTAAGTCTCTGGGTAGATGTGTTCCCATCGTGTTTGGAAAGGTGCTTGTGGGACTTGGGTCAGGAGAGGCCTGGAACACAGGACAGTAGAGAAGTGAGAGAAGATGAAGGGAGCCCTTCTCTCATCCCCAGCATCCACTCCACTTCTGTCTGCCTCTCCAGGATCCGAGGCCTTTCTCTTTTCCTCCCTTCCTTGTTCCCAGCCTGCTTTAGGTCACATTATGATCAAGACTCATGGTCTGAGGTCTCTTCCCCTCATTTATGTGAATCTGTTCTACTCAGAAGCTCCCAGGATGGGCAGCACAGAGCAGGGACAGCCCTGGTCCATTCAGTTTCCACTGAGGAGTTTACAGTGCCCAAGGTTTGGCCCCTGCCTAGCCCATCCTTGTCCTTGTGCTAGTGTCTGTACTTCTCTGGACTGCCATTTGCCTAGGGACACTGATGGGCAGAGATGTGAGTTATATCTCTTCCCTTAAACTCCTCGAGCCCTATGTGTTCTTATTGCTCTTCACTCTCAAGATGCATCAGTGGAGTCTGTTTTCCAATTTGAGCAGTAGCTGAGCTTTTTTGGTTTTGTCTGTGGTACTGAGATGAAGCCAGCTCTCGGCCACTGAGCAGCATCCCAGCCTGACTGTGTCTTTTTCACCAGGGACCATTCTGGGCTCACCAGTAGTGGCAACACTTCCATGCTTGCCTCATTCCCAGTGCCCCTTGCTGCACTGGTTTCCTACTGCCAGGGTTGCACTTGGCATTTCAGTGTCATCTGTAAGGGTGTCACCTCCAAAGCCATCAATTCAAATGCTGCTTTCTCCCACAGCCCCTTTTCCTCCCCCAATCTGTATTAACCCTTGTCATCCACGTCCTCTCAGGACCCCCTTCCTCTCTGCATCACAGTCCTGCTGCTTCCTGCCAACTCTCCTAATCAGGTAGAGCTCTGTAGAACAAACCAATGGTATGTGCACACATGTGAGAGCAACACATACACACACACAATTTGTTAGAGTAGTTTACAATCAAAAGAACCTGGATAGTTCAACAATGTCCATCTGTGCCCTGAAGAGAAAACAGTAGTTGCACAGCCTATGAAACTGGATGCCTCAGCAGGCCCAGTCTGGTGCTCAAAGGACTGGAAGTTCCATAGAAAATTCTGATCTTCAGAACACAATGGAAGGCCAAAAAAGCAGAAGTTAATGTCATTACAGATGGATGACTTCAGCTGGACAGTGGTGGTGCACGTCTTTAATCCCATCATTTGGGATGCAGAGGCAGAACTCTGAGTTCAAGGCCAGCCTGGCCTAGAGTGAATTTCAGGATAGTCAGGGCTACAACAACTCAGAGACCTTGTTTTTTTGTTTTGTTTTGTTTTGTTTTGTTTTGTTTTGTTTTGTTTTAAAAAAAAAAAGGTGGATGCAGTAATGTGCAAGGCCAGTGGGCCAGCAACACTTTTTTCCTCAAATGTTTTTGTATCTGAGCCATCCATCAGAAAGTGCCACTCATTCAAGATCTTCTCCCCTCAGTTATTATACACACACACACACACACACACACACACATCTGGAAATATCCTCACAGACTCACTTTGAGGGTTGTTTCTTTTTTGTTTTTGTTTTGTTTTTTGTTTTTTCGAGACAGGGTTTCTCTGTGTAGCACTGGCTGTCCTGGAACTCACACTGTAGACCAGGCTGGCCTCCAACTCAGAAATCCACCTGCCTCTGCCTCCCAAGTGCTGGGATTAAAGGTGTGCGCCACCACTGCCTGGTGAGGGTTGCCTCTTAATTCCAGACCTTGTCAAATGTACAATCAAAATTAACTATCACAAGTCCACACCTTGTCAACATGACCCCAACCACATCTCCATCTGTCATGGTGAATTTATCTAAGTCAGTACAGTAACAAAGTCAGAATTCCACCTGATGTAACTATTCTGCATACAGCCAATGCCACGCTAAGCCTCTTGAGGAATATTTAGTCTTTGAGTAGTCCCTAATGTAAAAAAAAAAAAAAAAGGATTACAACAGTTAATTACATTTACATTGTGATAATTACAATTCACATTGTGATACATTGCAAAAGGATAGAAGAAATGTCTGCTTAATGTATGTGTATTATGCACAAACATTTTTAAAATTTTAAAATTAATTTTAACTGTGTGTGTGTGTGTGTGTGTGTGTGTGTGTGTGTGTGTGTATTGCCAGATAAGTACAATGCCCTCAGGAGACGGCATGAGATCCTCTCCTGTAACTGGAGTTGTAAGCCACCTGGTGTGGGTACTGGGACCTGAACTCTGGTCTTCAGGAAGAGTGTTTTCTTAACTACTGAGCCATCTCTCCAGCCCCTGCACAAACCTAGTCTTAACAAAGTATGAAAGACCTACTCAAGACAATTGCAATCTTTGCTTCTTTAACTTGGCATTAAAGCCACATGGCATTAGCTACTTTTTAAAGATTTATTTTTAATTTTATATGGGAGGGGATGTACATACATGAGTGAAGGTGCATGCAGATTCCAGCAGGGGGCGTCAGATCTCCTGCAGCTAGAATTACAGAGGGATGTGAGGAGCACAATGTAGGTATCCTGTTAGGTGGAGGAAGACAAGATTAACCATCGTGCCCCATTTTTTGAGCATTTCGAACTTAAATTCCCATCAAGACTCCTGATCTGATATCTCCCACTGATTAGATCTTCTTTGCAGATATTTAGAATCTACCTTGGATGTACCCACCCATCCATACTTTCTCATTTCTTCTCCACAGCAGTGCTGGAGAATGTGATAAGACTGGAGACTACCTTCTCGCTGCCACACCTCTAGCATACTTCCTATGACCTATGCCGACCTTTTCAGGTCTTGTCTACAAGACCTGGTATTTGAGGACCTTAAAGAATGGAGCAGACTACAGTCAATCTCTGTAGACAGTCTTAGTTCTGTTTCAGTGTATTTTTATACACAAATGAAACAAAGTAATGCTCCAAGGAAGGTTGTTTGAGTTCAGAAAAACATGTAAGTAAACATCAGGAAGCACATACTAAATATTAATAGAGCAGCCTTTCCCAGGACTTTCTCAGGACAGAACAATTTAATCACAATTGACTGGCACACAGAATATATCTGAAATAGCATGAGAACAAGGCAGAAGGGCAAATACAGAGTCGGGGCACACTGAGGACAGCATTTGGCATAGCCTTTCAACAGACTGGTTTCCATAGCTGTGCTCTAACATCCAATAAAAATAAACATGTCAGCTGGGCATAGTGGGACACATCTTTAATCTCAGCACTTGGGAGGCAGAGGCAGGCAGATCTCTGTGAGTTTGAGTCCAGCCTGGTCTACAGAGTGAATTTGAGGATAGCCAGTACTGTAACACAGAGAAACCTTATCTTGAAAACTCAAAAAGAAAAGGAAAAAAAAAAAAGGTCTTATAAATTGAGTGTAAATCTTTGTCACAGGAGGCATGACATCATATCCAAGAACATTCCCAGAAACAAAATGCATCTACAGCCGGGCAGTGGTAGTGCACGCCTTTAATCCCAGCACTTGAGAGGCAGAGGCAGTCGGATTTCTGAGTTTGAAGCCAGCCTGGTCTACAGAATGAGTTCCAGGACAGCCAGGGCTACACAGAGAAACCCTGTCTCGAAAAACCAAAAAAAAAAAAAGCAGCATCTGAGGTAAAAGGCCCTCCACCTTTTTCCTGGAGCCTCTCTCAGAGTTCCCCAAGGCATTGTTTACCATGGGTCATTCTTTTGGCCATATTCCAACAACGGCCTTCTGTGTAAAACCTTGCATCTGCTTGCTCGGCCACCTTCTGTGGACAAAACAGCTTCATCAGTTGCCTCCTGTTCCCTCCTTGTGTCTCATCACAATCAGCCTCGTGACTTCCAGGTACCTGGGTGACGTCCATGCCATCTGTCTCCTCACAGATCTCCACTGCACTGACTTCTTCGTCCTTCCAGGAATCTCCATTTTTAGTTGCAAGATGACTCCCACCCCTGAGCTCCCTGTGGTCTCCGTGTGTCTACTGCTGGCTCTTTCTTCCCTAACCTCTGCATAGAATTCACTGAAGCCCTAACCTCTTCTCCCTCTTCTCACTTTCCCAAGGCTGCATCCTTGTCCTAAGTTCAGTCCCTACGATGGCCAGCAGTTCCCTCTTGAAGTGTGGTCTAAGTTCACATCTTTCCTGAGCTAAGGATCTGAACTGAGCCAACTCCAAGTGCGTGCCTGTGCGTGTGTGTGTGTGTGCATGCTCGCGTGTGTGTTTCTTTGTTTGTTTGTTCCCTCAGTACAAGGAGGAAGAAGGGTGTGCTGGAGTTGAAGTAAAATTTACTACAGGAACACTCTGAGTGGGATGAGTGATAAGTTGTTGAATGGGGAGAGGGTAATGAATGAATATCAGAGTTGGGAAGACTCCAATAGAAACAAAATGAGAGGTACATGTATGCATGGGGAGGAGAGAGAAAACAGATAAGTTGTAGAGCGATACACACACATTACTTTTAAATTACATTTCTAAGGAAAATGCTTTCGTATACTGTTGTCACACACTTGGTTTGGGTAGAGTCTTCTCCCTGCCTGCTTTACCCTCTCACCCACCTTCCCATTTGTTCTGTTGTCATCTCCATTAAAGCGTTTTAGTTTTTAGGTCTTGTGGGCCTCTTTCTGGTTTCCCATCCTGGTTACCCACATTTTCACACTTTTGCCTATGCATATGAATTTAATAGTTAGAGTCTAGGATCCACAGAGAAGATACTGTATTCATCTGTCTGAGCCTGGGCTACTTCACCTAACCCAGTGTTTTCTCTATTCCATCCATTTCTAGGCAAAATGTAATTTTCTTTGTATCTGAACAAAATTTGATTATGTGTATCTCACATTTACATTAGCCATTTATCTGTGGATAAACATCTTAGCAGATTCCATTTCCTTGATATTGTGAAAAGGTCAGAGATAAACATGGGTAAGCAAGTACCTCTGTAATAGAACGTAGAGCCCTTTGGGTATATGTCAAGGAGTGATACAGCTTTGCCTTATGGTACTTGTATTCTTCGTGTCTTTGAGAAGCCTCCATACTGATTTACACAGGAGATGCTTTAGTTGATACCTCATATCCATTACAGTACTGGGTAAGAGTTCATTTGCCCCACGTTCTCACTAGCATGTATTGTCACCCATTTTTATGTGCATTGTGCTTTGTCTGTGTGTGTGTATGTGCACATGTGTGCATTACCTCCAGAGGCTGAAACAGAGCATCCATCCTGCTGGAACAGGAGTTACAGACAACTGTGAGCTACCATGAGGGTCCTGGGAATGGAACCCAGGTGCTGTGAGAGCATCCAGTACTCTCAACCACTGAACCATCTTTCCAACCCCAGTCACTTGTTTTCTTGATGGTAGCCATTCTGACAAGGTTGAGGTAGAATCTCAAAGTATGTTTAATTAGTTTTTCATTGATAGGTAGAAAACATTTAAAATACTTTAACATATTTACAGGCAATTTTCTTTTGTGTCTTATTTTGAGGGCTGTCCAGTTTGTTGCTCCACTTATTGATAGGCAGATGTGTAGGTTGTTTAATTTTTCTCATTTATTTTTCTAGATATTAATTCCTTGTCTTATATATGGCTGGCAAATATTTTATCAAGTTCTGCTCAGCATGTCTGCTATGTTGATAGTTATTTTATCAGTTCTGCTCAGCATCTGT